TTTTTATTTATTTTCAGCACGATTTAGTTAAATTATAAAAAAAAATCCTTATTTTCAATATTCTTGCTTTCTGGAATGGATCTCTGATTGAGTAGGCTAACAATTTGTCATAAGGAAAGCCCTCTTTGAAGAAAATACTAAAAACAGTTAATGCCAGTCGAACCTATCGTCAGAAAACATGTACCATTTGTACTGACTATTATCAGGTTGAGGTCTTCAGAAAGAAACCAGTCTTTGTATTTTTACAACTACATTCAGATTTAACAACGAATAGAATTCCTATGACAAAAGATGGAGTTTGAATAGGATTACAGTCCAAACTTTAAAATTAATCTGAAGTACTTCCTCCTGAAAATGGTTTTGTTGTCATTCAAGTAAAAAAAAATAATGAAGAAGGTGTATGAAAAGGATGTAACTATTTTTTCTTAAAGACAGCTGTTTTTGAAATGAAAGTACTGCACCATATATGGTAACCATAGTAATTTGAATCTTATGTAAATTACAAAGAAATAAAATTTTGAACTTTGTTGCCAAGTACACAAAAATACTTTACTCAAATAAACCCAGTAACACATACCTTTGTGAAAAAAACTACGCATTAAAAGAGATAGATATTATAAAGTCATAAAATGATGCATGTTTTCTATAACTGGTGTGTATGCTCATTTCTATCATTATAGAAGTCATTAAATCGACCAGAAAATTATAATTTTTTGCCTTTAACAAAATAGATTACGATTTTCCAGTTGTATGATGAAAGTTTTCACTATAAAATGAGAATCCCAGCATTAAATTTTCACACTAGATACCTGTAGGTATGATGAAATGTATTTTTACCTGTTTCTAAACATAAACAAATTGCTTTTTCTGTTTGGATGATTCACTAAATCAATTTTTATTGAGGCTTAAAATAGGAGGGTTCTTAGCTAACATTGTTAAAAGATTTGGAGTCACAGCTTTCAACTGACACAATATATGTGTGAACCAATGATTTTAAAACATTTTACAAAAGACTAAATCTTGGTAGCATAATAGTTAACAGGGAACACTACCATAATAACTGGTAAAATCTGTAACTAAGATATAAAATAAAAATGTGTTCAAAAATTCACATTTTTACTGGTAATAAAAATTGAGTGGAATGTTAAACTATTCATGCAATAGTTGTATGCAATTTACTCTGTCAGTTTGGAATCTACATATAATTTATGCAAAACTGGATTCTGGCGCATATTATCAAATCATTTATACGTAATGTCATACAAATTCTATAACTATGTGTTTAATGTTTTGGTGAAAAAAATCCATTTTTCTGAAGGTAAATAGAAGTTTTCAACATTTTTCTGGACACATGATTACAGAGATATATCTTGGCTGCTTTGAAGCAAAACCATAGACATCAATTTGATGGACTGTCACATTACAGTGTAAGGGAGTGGATACCACTAAACTCATCTAATCAGAATGTACTGTTCAAACAATAAAATGAATAACAACATATCAACAGTTATTCACAACTTATCATAGGGAGTGCAATCAATAGGTGTCATATAAAAAATTGTGTATAAAAGACCCCCCCCCCCCTTTTCTTCCCCCCCAAAAAACCCTATAACACACCAAACAATCCAAACTGTCCATAAGAGTTATATATGCCCTAAATTAATAGAAATGGTTCAATGGGTCGCACTCATTCTCCAAATGGGGCACAAGTACTTGGTCTTCAAACAAGAGGCTCTCAAGAGACTGAATCGCTCACCTGTATTTCAGAGGAGAAGATTTTTAAATGTTAGCAAACTTGATGAACAAATTGTGTAAAATTGTCTTTAAAGGGCAATAACTCCTTAAGGGGTCAATTGACAACTTTTTTGTAGATCTTACTTTGCTGAACATTATTGCTGCTTACAGTTTATATATATCTATAATAATATTCAAAATAATAACAAAAAACTGCAAAATTTTGTTAAAACTACCAATTCGGTGGCAGCAACCCAACAATGGGTTGTTCGATTCGTCTGAAAATTTCAGAGCTGATAGATCTTGACCAATTGAACAATTTTACCCCATGTCAGATTTGCTCTAAAAGCTTTAGTTTTTGAGATATAAGCCAAAAAACTGCATTTGACCCCTATGTTCTATTTTTAGCCATGGCGGCCATGTTTGTCGATGGATCAAAACATCGGATACAATTTATAAACTAGATACCCTAAGGAACATTTAGTTAAAGTTTGAAGGTATTTGGCACAGTAGTTTCAGAGGAGAAGATTTTTGAAATAGTTTACGACGACAGACGACGGACGACGACGGACACCAAGTGATGGCATAAGCTCACATGTGGCCCTTTGGGCCCCGGTGAGCTAATAAAAGGGAATAGTGCAAATTAGGTCAATATGACAGTCATTCTCCAAATTGTAATAAATGGTTCTACAAGTCATATCCAAATAAGCATGAGCAATATATTATAAAGAACTATCAGATTCAAGGCTGTAGTATGGTTCAACAGTCAACCCCAGTCAAACCAAAAAAAAACATTCATCACATCAGCAGAACCTAACAGTCATTCTCTGAACTATGAGAAAAAGTTTTACAAGTCTACAGGACAGTCACTATCCAGATTTGGGGAAATGGTTCAACATGTCATTAAAACAGTCATCTCTAAATAACAAGGAGTGATTCAACAAGTCAAACTTATGAAAATGATTGAACAAGTCGACCTTCCTCAATATTATGTAGAAATGGTAAAAAATCCCCAAAAGACAAGATCTTTTCTCTCAAAATTAAGGCAAATAAAAGAAATTATCATGATACACAAATAAATGTGTCAGTGTGGCCATAGGATAATCCATCTCAAAATTATAAGACCAGTAAAATGGATTATGATTGTCTAGCATATCATGCCTAAATAGTAACTTTTTTTTCACATTATTGGAAATTTTCAATATGTCCTAATAGAAAGTTAATCTCCAAAATGTCAAAAATAGGTCAACATGCCTACTGAACAGCCTATGTCCAGATTAGAGGGAATTTGACCAATATTGAATAGGTTTATGTACTGAGATGAACCTATTAGACAGGAATCTTTTATGATAAGATAACTTTTGATATACAGATTAGACACATAAGGTAAACAAAGGTAAATCAATGATTAACATAATGTTCTCTCTGGTCAAAAACCTTGAAAACATTACTTTTTAAAGTAAACACTGCTGATAAAGCACAAACATAGTACAAGATATTTTCACTATTAGTAGTTACAATATAGTAAATTCAAAGAATGACTATTCTATCCACATGATGAACCAATTTCTGTGAACTCATTAACAGAAACAAATTTAGGTATTATACAGTTACATTGAGGGCTGTGGTGGATGAGAAGTCCAAGTAGTTCATCTACTACATCACTAGCCTGTAAACACAATAGCTTGAAATATGGTAAAAACGTTATTTCGTTGTTTTTGTTTCTTTAATATGCCATTTCAAATACTCTCTTAACACTGATATGAAGATCAATTTTGCCTAAACATAAAGGATGTATGTACTTAATAAGCCTACATTGATTCTTTGACTATGCATATTTTTATCTATTAGGAAACAATTGCCACATGACTTCTGTAATTAAGACTAAATTAAGTATCACCTTTGTGACTGTCCACAACATGATATAGATGTCTTAAATATATTGATTGGCTTATAAAGCATACCAAAATTACATCAATTCAGCCCCCCGGGCATTTCGAATGTCCAATTAACTTCTTTTTTTTTTTAAATATTACATTGATATATATTTATAATGCAATTATTGAAAGATAAAACTAATTTATATGCTGTATTGCATAAAATCAGCTTTTAAATCATAACTTTACTTATTTTTCTGCAATTAATGATTTTATTGATAAATGGAAGCATTGAAAGCCTAAAAAACTATATCCATTATCTTTTTATACAGAAAATAAAACCTCTAAATCTGTTAAAAGCATTGCATAATTCAAACTTGGAAGAATTCAGAGTTATTTTCTTTCTCAAACATCACATTTTTTTATCTGCTTCTCATAGATGTCTGATTATGAAATTTGAACTCTTTACATAAATGTGTGTCAACAAGAATACAAAAAAAAACCCTTAGTGGTTCCCCTTTCATAATCCTAGATTATCTCCTTTACATCAAACCAGTAGAGAATTCATTTCCCTCAAAGGTTATGATTTATGTTTATGAAATATGACAGCAAATCTTCCACCATTTTACTCTCCCTTTATCTGGAAGGTAATATGCAGAACAAACATATAAATAACATCAAAAAGGTGCACATACATTTTGTAATTCAAAATGTTTTCTTCTGTGAAAGATCTAATTCAAAACCAAATGATTGGAATAGACTTTGAACCTAATAACAGTTTCTTTCAGTAATTGAATTTCAATGTGATGTTAACAGCAATATAAATTTTGCAAAGTGGTTACCAGAACAAAATATATGAAAAAAAAAAGAAAGAAATGGTCAAAAGGTACAATCATCAAATATTAAAGTAAAAACAAATAAAAGAAGAATGTGTCCATGGGATACAGATGCCCCCGCTTGAAAATATACAAGATTCAATGTACTAATTCATACCTATTGATGTTTTGTTTTCTTTGAAACTTAATGACATTTGTTTTTGTATCTTGTCAATAGTTAGGGTGAGGAAACGACAAATTAACCAATTTTTTTCCAATTTATAAAAGGACATAACTCAAGAATGGTGTCACGCCACCCAAATTTAATTTTGATCTGTGTTTGGTGGTAATAAGCATTGTGCATAAGGTCCAGAACATTTGGTTGTGGCAAAAATAAGTTAAGAGTGTGGAAACAGCAGATTAAGCAATTTTTCGATTGATAAAGGGATAATTAACTCAAAAACACTCAATCTTCCTAGAGAGTTTTCAAGTACATGAGAATTTATAATCATTATACAATGTTCTACACGAAGATATCATGAAAAAAAATGATTTACTCAGTGTCTCTGTCACTTTCTTGCAATTCTAAATAAGGACCAATTACCTTCCACTACCAGTTATTCTGCTTCACTAAGAGGCCAATGACACCAGTAAAATATAATTACATTGGTAATTATGTCAAACCATTTATTGTGAAATCGAATCAATATTAAAAGTCAACATCACAAATCAAAAAGCTCCTTCAATAGTCCCGATTTCTTCCTTGGCTGCTCAAATTTAAAGCATACATTTGGGAAAACAATACAAACCATTTATATATAATTGAAAAACTAGTGCTAATATTATAACACAAATGTTTTACCAGTAATTATGAAAACATCAATCGTTTTCAAAATATTTAATGTGCCCATCATAACCAAACATATTTAACTAGATCCTCCAGACTGAAATTAACATATTAAAAGCAAAACTAATCTAGCGTGGAATAGATTTTAATTTAAAAACAGTAGGATCTCATACCAAAGACTTGAATGTTTTGTTTGGATTGTAACCAAACGAAAAATTATATCACTGCAAGTTATGTTACATCTTTTTGTGCTAGGTACATAATTTTCTATTTGAAGGTTTGTATCCTGTAGAATATCATACTGAGGTCAATCAGTTTCATGCAAATGATAATCCAGCATTTTTCAGGTACATTTATCTACCCTTCCCACATAAAATAAGTGCAAAGTGTCAGTCAGACACGAGGTCTTAAGTACTGTACAAATTATAACTTTTTATTTGACAACAGAACTGCCAAATCTAATGACAAAAAAATCACTTGTAATACTCATTGTCTAACTTCGCAGTAAGTAATCTTAGCCAACCACAAAATGATGGAGTGATCAAATCTCTGTATCACTATAAGACCAAACTATTATTTGTTTGAAGACCTCAGATTCGAGACATTTGTACTGAATTGCTAATGAAAAGTACTAATTCTGCAAAGAAGATTTTAGAGTGTTTGAAGTTTTTACCAATAATTTTGGGTGAATAACAACTTTTAATCTGTATGTATTCTTTGCAGCCATCAACAGCCAAACAAAAGACAATAGTACATCCCACTTACCAAGTACTTTAGAATAAAGAGTATTGTTCTACCTATTAACTGAGATCAAAGACCAAGTTGAAAATGCCAACTGTAAAACAAATGAACCTCCAAATATGAGGCCTAGCTGTATGGACCAAAATTTTGGTGAGAGCTATTCCAAAATGGGTATTATAAAGTTTATGGGTAAGGCTTAGTCTAAGGATAAATTATACAGTCTGTATATCTAGTCTTAAGAGACTAAGAATAAGCTGTTTATCTAGTTTGAAGATAGAATAAGCTGTTTAGTTTTCTTATCTGTTTAATATAATAATTTGTCAAGTCTGAAGTCACATATGTAGTTAGTTTGACAAATTTGATTCAATATACATGGTATTGCCAGGTTTCATGAAAACTGTGACATAAGAAGTGATTTTATTCACTGTTTAACAAGATAATTTTGAACAACAGCAATTTTTGAGGTTAACAAGTTACAGTCTGAAGTTTCGGTTGTTTCTTTGGAAACAATGTGTTTTCTATCTCACACTGTTTGCACACCCTTGATCAAGACAATATGAAACTTGTAATACAAAGTGTGACTTTATCTTCTATAGATTTTTCCAGTTTCAAAATTGTTACCAAAACAAGACTACTTATTAACCTAGTCTATAGATTTTTCCAGTTTCAATATATGTTACAAAAACAAGACTACTTATTAACCTAGTGACCTAGTCTATAGATTTTTCCAGTTTCAATATATGTTACAAAAACAAGACTACTTATTAACCTGCTCACTCTGCTCCATGATCCAAATCATAAATCATTGAAGCCTGATATACTGTAGGTCATGCAGTCTTATTTAAACTGAAATCTTTTAATAGTAAGTGATCTGGGAAATATGATAATGAAAACAGTCATGGTATTAGCATGCAATAAAATCATTTTCATCAACTTAAAAATACTTGTTTATATTGCATAACATTCTTCAAATTTTTTCACTTATAACCAATTTTTCATACAGATATGCTAAGTTTCAATCATCAAGGTACTTTCAGCAGTGAAATATAAGGTGCCAGACTGTCCTTAACTTTACCAAGTACAGATAACTTATTCATTAAGCATAGGTAAACTACCTGATGAGGGCATGTTTTGGATTCATTACAAGGTCAATGACATTCATTTAGCTAGTTGGTGTTCCCTCCATTACAAGGTCAATGACATTCATTTCGCTAATGCTAGTGGGTGTTTCGATCCATCACAAGTCCAATGACATTCATTTAGCTAGTTGGTGTTCCCTCCATTACAAGGTCAATGACATTCATTTCTCTAATGCTAGTGGGTGTTTCCATCCATCACAAGGTCAATGACATTCATTTAGCTATTTGGTGTTTTCCTCCATAACAAGGCCAATGACATTCATTTAGCTAGTTGGTGTTCCCTCCATTACAAGGTCAATGACATTCATTTAGCTGTTTGGTGTTTTCCTCCATAACAAGGCCAATGACATTCATTTAGCTAGTTGGTGTTTCCCTCAATTCAGGACCAATGACATTTATTTAGCTAGTTGGTGTTTTCTTAAATTTCAAGTTCAATGACATTCATTTAGCTAGTTGGTGCTTCCCTCAATTACAAGGCCAATGACATTCATTTAGCTAGTTGGTGTTTTCTTAAATTTCAAGGTCAATGACATTCATTTAGCTAGTTGGTGTTTTCTTTAATTTCAAGGTCAATGACATTCATTTAGCTAGTTGGTGTTTTCTTTAATTTCAAGGTCAATGACATTCATTTAGCTAGTTGGTGTTTTCCTCAATTACAAGGCCAAGGGCATTTATTGAGCTAGTTGGTGTTTACATCCATTACAAGGCCAACAACATCTATTTAGCTAGTTGGTGTTTCCCTTCAAAGTATGTAAAGTTTAGATAGATATCATGTTTCCTATCCATTGAATGTATGACTGGCTATTTATCAATTTGTTTTTTAATATTTGCCTTGAAAAATTGAGTTGTGACTGGGCAAGAGCCTCATGGCTAGTCAAGGTCAATAAAAAAAACCATAGTGGTACAACTAGAGTGTTACTTTACAGCTACATAATTATAATTGCTTATTCTATCCAATGATGTATAGAAAGTAGTAGCTTACTGTATTTTGTGTTCTTTAATTAAGGAAATTTGGTGTTGATAGCAGTAGTCTCTCTTAAATATTTTCACAAAACTCAGGGGAATTTAGAACTTGACATATAGCAAATATATGTTTATTTTTAAAGGACCGAATGTAGATCCCTAAATATTTTTTTTCTTTTTTGTGTTGCTTTTTTTTTTATATAAAGACAGACACATATACTGCAAATCACCTTATAAAGTACAAATGAAATAAATTATAAAAATCCTGACTGATTCGTAAACTTAGCACATGAACTTTTAAATGATTAATGCATCTTTACAACAAGTGAAACTTCAGTATTGCCTTTAACAAAGTTATTAATATTCCTTAACCACTGAATTTACTACATGTATTTACATTTAAATTTTATAGATATCCATTACTAATGTTGTTATTGGGAAGACCTATTATTTATATCTAAAAAAAGTCAAGTACTTTTAGCAGCCAAGGACTCATTTTTCATAACTTCTCAAGGCTGAAACACTTACAGTGAAGAGCTTTCAAAGTCAATGGACTCCCGAAAGTAACAAATATAGACATATATTCAGCTCTTTGATCATTTAATAGATTGTTTAATTATGTTCAATGATTACTTTTATTTGCTGTAACATATATAACCAATCAATTTTTTTTTTGGAAGTTCTTTATTTCTGCAATTGATACTCTTCAAGTCTAAACTATTACATGTGTCTTCAAACTATACAAGAAAGATAAAATTATTGTAAAGGTATGACACTGAGTCCTACTTACTAAAATGTTGTATTGAACCAGATGACTATTACGGTGATGGTGAAATTATTAGAAAAACTCATTACTAAACCAAACCTACTCATGGGTGAAAAGTAGGTCATAGTGACTCAATGTTTGCTTAAACAATGTGATATACTATTCTTAAAGACTCTAGTAATGAAAATCATTAATCTATTACTAATAGGTTTTAAGAATTAGATATGAACCAACAAATTATGTCCCTCAAATGTGTTATATAGGTTACAGTGACCAAAATGTTGCTGAACAGTATTGTACTTTACAAGACAGTTTTAGTGGCAAAATATTATTGAATAATGCATCACTTTTTCTGACCTGTTTGGGAATTGCCATACAAAGTTATTATGAATTTTATTTACCAAAAAAAACAATTTTTCAATGATCTTTATAATTTTTTTTGAAACACTAGCTGATTTAATATAGATAGAAAAGACTTTAAGAAATGAGGTTAATTTTGAGTGACTTAGTTACATCAATGTTTGGTGGTTCTGAAAGGAGTTGTAATTGAATAAATAAATGTTCATAGTAAGTTTTAAGGAATAATTTCAATCCTTTTCAAGAGCATTGTTGTTAGTAGTTGATATGACATTATTGTTGACATTAGTTCCCTCTACATGGTATTCATCCTTGTCAAGGAATGATTGAATTGATAAGGCATTCTTTGATTCTTTTAGCACAATTTTGGTGGTTGTAGAGAAATGTTACAATATGTGGGTTTATGTAGAATGACTGTTGAATTATTAGGTAAAAATTACAGTGTAAATTGCAAACAAATGTTTTATTGCATAGCACAATATGTTGTTTAAGATCAGAAAAGTAAAATAATAATCTATATGCTTTGCTGCTGCTTATCCTCAAAAATACACTACCTATCAACCAATCAAAATCCAGAATACTTATGTAAGGTATAATTATTATATAAATGCTTTATCTTGTTCTATCTGTACTGTCATATCAATAAATTGTTCTTTTGAGAATCCATATAAACAGGAATGTAATTAAATCTCTAAACCATTGTTCCACGATTCCATTTAAGACTTAAGACGTCATAATGTGTTTTTCTACATGTTCTATATATATATAAAAACTTCAGACATTTAATTCCTTCAGAAAAAAAAACCTGTAATAAGACTAGCCTTGCTTTACAAGATATTGAAGATGTAGAACTGTAAGGCTTCAGGAAACAGCATTTATGATGACGTGTGTAGTCAATAAGCCTTTAGAGAACTAACCAAATAAATTCAAATTAAATTTACCAAGATCTAACTTGCATACAACTTTAAAGTTTGTTACATGCTTAGGAATACTAACAAGATTTTAAAACTGATTTCAAAAGTTTGATTTAATTACAAGTTGTATGTTTCTTTGGATGAAATCTATTAGAGTATAATCATGTTAATCCAAGCGGCAGGAAAGATATTTTAAGGATTTTAAAAGTCAAGCGAGCATGACCAATGTAAATTGTAACTTGTCAAGCTGTTTTGAAGAAAACACTTCATTTATGATAATGGCGATTAAGGTGAGAAAAATTACAGCTTGTAAACGCATCAATAGCCCTGTTGAAATTGATCAGACATAACCGTCATGTAAATTACTACACTTGATGTATAATCATAGTTTATAACACACAACTAGTCACATTTCAACACACACTTAAGAAAATGTAAATAAATAAGATATAATTTATATACCAATTTTGTAATTGGCTATGATTTAATAATCTTCACAGAGCATTCTCCCAAAAATAAACATGTTTAGATACTGCTATAAATAGAATTACTATACAGTTACACTTTCAGGGAGAATAACATGTTTTTATGTGCAGGGCTTATTTAAGAGGAGAAAGGACCTGTTTTTAGGGAATTCAGAATTGAGACATCTAATTGGTGGGAATTTGGGAATTTTAAATGTTTGAGATTAGGGAATTCATGCTTTCATTATATCGTGATACAGGAACAGACACATTAATTTCACAGGGATCCTGGATTCCTACCCCCCCCCCCCCCCCCTTCTTATTCAGAAAAAGGGTTGAAAAATAAGTATTTTTTTATGTTTAGACTAAAATAATCTATACAGCATGGTTCAGAGTACTTATAGTTTTATACAGCATGGTTCAGAGTACTTATAGTTTTTAAGTATTAATTAAACTGCTTTCAATATAAATTTTTTTTTTTTTTTCTATTTATCAAAGGGAAAAGAACTGTGAAATCTAAATCTGTGTTTAAAGGGGTCCCTAAAGA